TGGGGAAAGGGATGCCTCAGCATGGGCCGGCAGAGGCACTGTCTTCCCCCTGAGGTACCAGCCACAGGATGGTACATTATAGAATTTATTTAGGGCATGGGGAGAGGATTTCAGGGAGGAGAGAGGGGCGGGGAGGAGGCTGGTCTTGAGCATCTGGAGGGAGAGAGGGGAGGGGGATGGGGAGAGGGGGAAGAGGGTAAGGGAGCTAGAGTAAGAGGAGAAGAGAGCAAGAGAGAGGAGAGGACTCACTATTATAGTGAGTCAGGCACACCTGGCTCTTGCCAGGTAACTGTGGGGCGGAGCCTAGACAAAATGCCATCACTGACTGCTGCACCTGGTACCTCTCTTTCCTCCCTCCCTCTCCACCAGCTCTTCAAATGGCTAGGGACATGTCCATCCAGGACTCTCCAAGATGATTCTGCCTCTATGTCTTTCTTTTATTCACAAACTTTCTCTTCCTCCTTACCTGAACCTGTCCTCTTCCCTGCTTTTATTTCTCTCATTCATGTGGTGCCGAAAACCAGGGCCAGTCATGTTTTCTTTCTTTTTTTCATTCAGCCATGATGAAGGATTCTGCTCAGAACCACTCTGAGGTTCCCAGAAAATGGCGGCAGAGGTACAGTTTGCAGAGTCATATAAAGGCAAACCCATAAGGCCATTGGATTTCCTATCACGTCCAATCAGAGACAAACATGTATCCTGACTTCCTTCCTGCCTTCACACCTCCTGCCTAAATCCAATCAGGGGCAAGCATTCATCGCTACATTTTCAGCCTACGAATCTCCTGCCTACATGTGATCAACTTCATCCAGTGCAGTTGGGTCAAACAATCTTGTTTAGGAAAGTAAGTGCATGTGCCTCATTTTCTCCCACAAACAATAACCTCCAGCATTTCAGGAAGTATCTGTCCTTGGGCAAGGGCCTTACAGATTAACGGCAATAACACAAAAGGCTGGATAGCAACCTTATGACAAAAACATTTTCGTATCATACCACCTGTTTCAACATTTTCTTTACTGACTCATCTAGGAAGAGTGTCTCCCATACATACATTGACGGCACCATGCATTTCACGGTGAGAAGGAGTGGCTATGCAGATAAGGAGAGACATGTATTAATTAATGAATTAGCTAATTAATTAATAACTTTTGAGAGCAGCTCTCACTGCATAGCTCTGGCTGTTCTGGAACTCTTTCCACAGAGCAGGATGAGCTGCCTCCCTCCAGGTGCTGGAATCAAAGGCATGGGCCACATGCATGGCTCAGGGACACGTTATTAATGCTATGGTTTGTCATTGACATCTCCAATAGCCAATCACTTTTCCAGAATTTGGTTTCTATTTCTCTAACACTCAAAGCCAATTTTTCCATATTTTTATAGAATTGAAGAACATTATCACTTACATACTATAAAATATCATTGTGCCATACTCCATTTTTTTAATGTCAAGCCAGGCTCGAGCATGTGTTAAGACATTTCTCGAGAATTAAACTATAACAGCACATGTTTACGATTTCATCAAGAGCTTTCTCTACGTCCCTTACTGCCTTGCTTGTGAGATAATAGTTTCTGGGGTAACGGATTTCTGAGCTTGAATCATAAAGACACACTGCCTTATGACCCAAGTACGTTATCTTGACTATGATACCTATTTTCCCAGTGTAACCACCGCGGTTTACCAACGTCTGCTTTAATGTTAGGGCAGTTTGTTTATAATAATTTATAATTAATTCAGCGCCTAGTTCACTCAGAAGAGTACTGTTGTCCTCCAGGTCCTCATCTCCCCGGACAAAGCCATGCAGGGTCAGGAGACTGTCCTGGGAAATATGAAGCACATCCAAGATGACTTCCTGCTTCTCTTGCAAGCCCAGATCCAAAACCCAGCTCTTAGAGACGACCAGCGTTCCTTTGCAAGGTGAGTTCAACTCTTTCTGGAGTAACTGCTCATAGCCTTCATGTGGTGAGAACAGTTTTATGCAGAGGGCTTCTGAAGAGCATATCACCTTTCCAGATATCACTAGACAAGAAAAAGAAACATAACAAATTAGAAAAGGAAAATGCCTGGAATGTCGTGTGTGACACATCACCAAGCAGTTTGTAAGTCCCACACTTTGCATCCTAACCCAGAAAGTGAACACAAGATACCAAACACTGACTGAAGAACTGGAAGGAGGCAGGTGCAAGGGGGACGTAGGAACTCCAATTGCCAAAGTCTGAGACATGGAAGCAGCTGAACACTCACAGTCCCACCTATTCCATAGCACGATGCATCAGAGGCTTGCTCTGGGGAACTTCATGGAGGAGAAGAGTCAGGGGAGCAAAGAACAGACTAATGCTGAGGACAAAAAAGTCAGGTGGTGAAACAGGAGAAAAGGATGGAGAGATCGGGAGGCATCAGAGAAAAAAGGAGGGAGCAGACCACATTCTCACAGCTCCAGGGATGGGGAGAGGATGCCTCAGGAAAGATCACAAGGGAGGTTAGGGTCCCTGGTGATGATAGATTGGCAGTCCAAGCCATAGGGTAGGACATAGTTCTTCAAAGCCTTGTATCCAGTAAAGGAACTTGAAGGGACACTATCACCTTCTACCTGGCAAGTTAGAATTACAGAGGAAATTTCTTTACTTTATCTCCCTATCTGAGAATGTCATATGTTGCCAGGTACTATTCACTCTCTCTCTCTGTGTGTGTGTGTGTGTGTGTGTGTGTGTGTGTGTGTGTCTGTGCCTGTCTCTGTGTCTGTGTCTGTGTGTGTACACCAAGTTACTCAAGGGACCTGAAAACAAGTAACACTCCCAGCGCAGGAAGCATGGAGACACCTTTCACCACAGAGCCCGGTTGAACAGGAGGCTGGAACCTAGTCACAGCAACCAACCAAGCAGCCACAGTGAAACTACCTGGAAGGAGAGCACTCTGTTGAGGAGCATCAGGATTGCCACAAGGAAAGCAGCTGTGGGGACCGTGTGACAGTCTGCTTGATTGAAGAGTGTGTTTATCTTGCCTGGAAAAACCTGAGAAGACAAAGATAATTTTAAGTTTCCCATAAATCCAATAACTCTTTCAAAACACATTAAAAGTATCAACTGAACCTCTTGTTCCTAATAGAAAAGGAAGGCAGATTATAAGGTCAAAAAGAAACTACCAAATTAGACTGAACTGCATTACACTACCCTCAATAAAACACAGCTGTAGAAAGGATACTAAGAGTAGCTGAATGTATTAACTATTAGATGGGTACATTTTACTTTGTGTTTATTGGGTTTTTTTTTAAAGATTTTATTTATTTATTTTATATGTATGATGAGTACACTGAAGCTGTCTTCATATACACCAGAAGAGGGCATCGGATCCCATTACAGATGATTGTGAGCCACCATGTGGTTGCTGGGAATTGAACTGAGGACCTCTGGAAGAGTAGTCAGTGCTCTTAACCTCTGAGCCATCTCTCCAGCCCGTTTTATTTGTTTTTTAAAATTGTGATAGGATCTCACATAGCCCAGGCTAGCCTCAAAGGCACTATGTAGCCAAGGGTGACTGTGAATTTCTGATCCACCTGCATCTCCCTCCAAAGGGTATGGATCACAAGTGCACTACCATGCCTAGTTTTAGGGTTTTATGCAGCACTCGAGATTGAAGCCAGAGCTTCTTGTATGCTAGATAAGCATTCTCCCAACTAAGAGACGTCAGCAGCTTTGGGTTATGTAAAAAGCAGTTAAATCTAGAAAGCAAGAGGCTGGTCGGGAGGGAGTTTGTGAAGAGTCTGAGAAGCTCTCATTTTCAGAGACTGTAAGGTTCTGGTGTGAGTTCACATAAGGTTTTCATCTCCTTAAACCAAAATGAAACCAGAGAACTGAGCTTAGGGCAGAGGTACCTGAGGGTGTTTCAGTGAAAGCTTCGAGGAGTCAGACATCAGACACAGAGATGCAGAGTTTGGAGATTGCCCAGATGGTTTTCTGTCTTGATTTGGTCCTATAATTCCTCACTATGATTTTTTGGAATAGTAATGTATTTCCTTTGTTGCTGGAAGTATGTGATCTGAATTTCATTTGTGATTTTGTATTTGATTACAGTTAAGATATTGCTCAAATATCAGAAGAGATTTGAACTTTGGACTATAAAACTTTGTTGAGGTTGTGATGATCTATGGGGATTTTTGAAGTTGAAATACATTTTGCATTATGCTATACCTAGGTACAGCCTCCATAGACTCATGGTTTTGAAGAAACCTATGGGGGTAACGGAGTCGCAAGTGCTGGTTTGAATATGCTAGGCCCATGGGAAATGGCAGTACAAGGAGATGTGCCATTGTTGGCATATGTGTGTCCTTGCTGGAGTAAGTGTGCACTGTGTAGGTGAGCTTTCAGGGCTTCTCGTGCTCAAGCCCCACCCAGTGTAGAAGAAAGGGCCCTCCTTCCTTTGGATCAAGATGTAGAACTCTCAGCTCCTCAAGTATCATATCTGCCTGCACGCTGTTTTAGTCTGTGTCCCATCACCCCGTGATCATAGACTGAACCTCTGAAACTATGAGCCAGCCCCAATTAAATGTTTGCTTTTATAAGAGCTGCCTTGGTAATGGTGTCTCTTCACAGCAATAAAACACAACTAAGACAGGAACTGCTGGGACAATTTTGAACTGACTACAGTAACTTGTGCACCTTGTAATTTTTCATATTTGTTGTCATGACTGTATATGATTCCCCTTGTAGTTGTTTTTAATTAAGAAACTTCATTATGTGTATTCACCCTCCATGGCACTGTATTTTACGAGGAACTTCAACTACAGAGTTATGGGTAGTTATGAGCCTCACGTGATAGTTGGGATTTGGACCTGCGTACTCTGTAAGGGCAAGAAGCACTCTGGGTTTGTTTGTTTGTTTGTTTTTGTTTTTTCCAGACAGGGTTTCTCTGTGTAGTCCTGGCTGTCCTGAAACTCACTCTGTAGATGAGGCTGGCCTCGAACTCAGAAATCGGCCTGCCTCTGCCTCCCAAGTGCTGGGATTAAAGGCGTGCGCCTCCAAGGCCCTGCAACAAGCACTCTGAACCACTGAATCAACTCTCCTTACGCTACAGAAAAACTTTTAACATTAGTGTTTGCTGTGCATTGAGTATGATGTCCTACCTAACCTTCTTTGATGTCCCTATCCCATCTGTTCCCTATATTCCCTTAGTCATCTCTACTTTCACGTTTTATACACACACGTGGTTGCACAGATGTATAGTACATAAACTGTAGTAAGCACAACTGAGAGGAATGGTATGAGATTTATCTGAGACTGGTTTGATTTTCCTTAATCTGATTATGTCCAGTAGTACTATCCTTTCTCCAACCTTCTTTTGGGTTCCTTCTGATTTTCCTATATTAATGCAGCTCCTGACCTGTCATCCCCAGAGGCTGTCATTAAGCAGACAGCTGCTGCTCTTGTGAACTCTCTGACAATGATCCTCCTGTGATTTCCTGCAGCCTTGAGAGTGGAACAACTTCCTAGGTCGGCTGTGATGTACCCCACCTACTCTCATGACTTCACACTGATGTCACCTCCATCTACAAGTTCTAATGTGTCTCAGATGCAGTGTCTGTTGGGTGGAGGAGGTAGGGCATCCTCTAGTCTAGCTACTGTGTCAGGTGTCCCGAGGTGCTCATGCAGCTGTGACAATGTGTCTTCTTCCTTCACCGGTCTTCAAAGGTCTAATCTACAATTCTGAAAACCACAATCCCAAGC